GCTACAGAGAAATCTGAAACAATGGAGACAGAATATGAAAAGAGGAAAAATAAGAAGGGAAAAACCCCAAACACAAACCTAAAAACAGATGGTAAAATCTTGACTATGCTGAAGCCAATGGTAAAGAGTTTTCCTGCTTATATATGTTACTGTTTTTCTCCAAAGGAGCAAGGTAAATGCAGAGGTTTATTTTGCAGATAGAAAACCAAACCAAACCAAAACAAAAAGATGAATGGATAAGAAATACATAAAGAACTTTGAGGAAAATATTACAATATGAAATTTGTTGAGATGCCGGTGATGCTGACTGATGAAGTGCAGAGGACAGGGTAGTTTAGACAGACAAAGATCTACCTAAGGCTGTTTGGGATTAAAATTTTAAGTGTGCATCATGGCCAAAATCTAGGTTTTGATCTGCAAAGGAGAGAAGTGATAGTACTGACAAACAAATGAAAAGAAAAAAGCAGCAATGTGAGTCTCTATGAAGGAAGAGTGCTGTCAAAGTATCAGTTTTCTGACTTCATAATATCAGCTACACTGTATGGAGCAAATGGATGCAAAGGGAATATATGAGAAGCAGTTGTGACAATCTGCCTGTCAAGGTGACCAGTGTATTAGATTTACACTTTCCTAACTGTTATGGACTAAATATGTCAAGCAATTAAATTTCTTTTTTTTTTTTACTGCTCCAGTGAATTCAATGTTTTTACCCTCTCTCTATGGAATCTTTGTTGCTTGATCTCCATTGAACTGTGATGCTTCATCTTGCATTAGATTGTAACACCAGAACTGTGTTCACCCATGCAGTAGGAGAGCTCCCATAGGACCCTCCTGGGATACAGGCATGGTAAATGATGCTGTAGGAGTGGGTTTCAGTCAGCTGGCATTTACGTGTGCTGTGTATTTTATGTCTTCAAATTCAAGTAGCCATCACTTTTTAAAAAATGAGTGCAGCGGCTTTAATTAGAGGACAACAGCAACAAAGAACCTGTAATTAAAAAAAAACATATCAAGTGGTTGATGCAGTGAGTAGTGCCTTTGTCGTAAGTCACAGCGAGTCTACTCTTGGGTCAGGTTCAGTCATCAGTCAGCTTCAAGCACAATCACTTCTAATTAACAAATCTTTTGAACTCATCCAGGGAACATGGTTTGGACCTCTAAGGTCATATGACAACAGTCAAACATGCAGCTCTTAAGGTTTCTTTCCTTTATATTGACTCTTCCAGAAGGCAAGGTGGAGACATCCTTTAATAAAACTAAACCAATAGTATTGTAGTTGCATTTTTATGCCATGTGTCTGTCCATCCCCCCTGCAGCCATCCAAGTCTTTCTCACTAGAGAACCACCTTCCATGCTCTTGGTTATTTTGTATGTGTATCCATAAACAGAGAAGGAAGACTACTACAGCTGTGCAAAGAAACTATCTTTCTGTACTTTAATGAGCAGTATTAGGACTTGACACTAAAAGGACTGGTTTGAGCTGGGTTAAATCTGGATGGCTTTGTGGAGGCAAGCGGCACCCATCTAAAACCTCCAATTAGGGGCAACAGCAGGGTGTTTTGAATTTGAGCTGAATATTTTGGGCTGAAAGAGGTTTGCGAAAGCAAAGCCACAGTCTCACACCAGAGGTTAGGTATATCTGATCTGTGGTACATTCAGGGCCAACAGAGCAAAAACTTTTATACAAACACAACTTCTTTGAAGAAACAAAGAACTCCACCATCAGTTTCCCCTACTAAGAACGTGCAGTATCACCAATAACCTCCCTAAACCCAAAGGGATGGTATCATTACAGCTCTTTGATATGCAGATACACAGGGGCTGCTATTCTTACCCTGGTGGTTTTGCATTTAGCCTGTGGAAAACACGAACAGGTTCTCCCGTGTTCTCCCTGTGCCCATCCTTCTCGCTGCCACAGGCTGCACAACCGCAGTGGACGGGCCATGGTCTGCAGGAGGAGCCAGTCCTGCTGCCAGCCACGGGCACCCAAGGGACTCACCAGTCTGTCCCTGCCCTGAGCATCGAGCATCACACGAGCCCAGCTCATTCAAGGTACGTATTTAAAATGTTCCAGAGCCCTTTTAAGCTAAGCCATAATTGATAGCTGGCTTTTGCAAAGAGCAATTTCGCAGGCGTCAAGTGTTAATTGTGGCCACGCGGATGAGCTTCTCTTGACTCACATCTACTGCTGTGTCACGGATGAGCACCCTTTCAGTCACACCGGCCAAACTGCCCTCCTCCATTTCATCATGGAAGAAAAAAACCCACAAACTTATAAAAACAGAGGTCCTTTAAATAAAAGTAAACGCACCACCTTCCTTCAGCGACCAGTCCCTCAGGACTCCCGCGCGATGCTACACCTTCACCGCGCCATGAGCCCCAAACAAGACTCGAACCCGGATCTCACGGCTTCACCCCGCCCACCCTGGGGCCCAACCACGCATGCGCAAAGAACCGCTCAGGCCTATGCGGGCTCGCTCGGGGGCGCAGCAAGCCCGCGGCAGCGCGCATGTGTAGTGGCTTCCGTGGCCCTGTAGCGTGCGCTGCGCCCCCTCCCCCCGCCGTGCCATGGGTGACCCGTTCCGGAGGGCGGAGTCGGGCACTCAGGTGAGGCGCTGCCATCCCCCTACCCCCCCCCATCCCTTGGGTTCCCCTCAGCCACGGGCCCCGGGCACGGTGTGCCCGCGGTGGCCATGCCCAGGCTGTCGGGGAGGGAGAAGGGAAGCTCGGCCGCTGCTGGGGGAGGGGAAGCGCTGCGCGCTCCGCTCCGCCCACCCCGTGCTGGCGGAGCTATGCTCCATCCCCACCCGCTCGGGGCGGGCGGAGGGAGTGCCCGGGGGCCGCGGAGCCTCCCGGGGTAGCGGTGTGTGAGGGAGGGAAGGAAGGAGAGCCGCGCCCTCCCGCCTCCGCCGCCCTTCCCCCCCTCCCCGCAGCCGGGGGGAGCGGGGCCCTGTCAGCAGGCCCGGGGCGCGTCTCACGCTCAGCGGAGGCGCCCATGGGTGTTGGGGGGCCCCCCCGGAACTCCTCGGCTGTGCTAGTGGGGGCAGCGTGAGGCTCCGGCCGGGTGCTGTGTGCAGGGACCCGGGCTGAAACCCTCTTGTGGGTTCCCCTGCAACGGGGGGCATGGGAGGTGTATTCGGGTGTTAACAGTAGTTACTTTGTAAATTCCTGCTTTGCGCTCTCTCCCAAAGATTGGAGTGGATGCAGTAAGGAAGAATCGTGAGGGAAGTTTTTGGTTAAATAAAGTTTATTTAACCAAAAGCAGTGGAATTGGTTTCTTCGGAGAAAAGGTATTTTAGTTTAGGGTGTCGGTTTGGGTTTGTTTTGGGTTTGTTGGGTTTGTGTTTTTTCCCTGCTGGATGGTTTATTTGCGACTTGCAGTCACAGAATAAGGATGGTTTGGGTTGGAAGAGACCTTAAAGATTATCTAGTTCCAGCCCCCCGGCCACAGTCACGGACACCTTCCACTGGACCAGGTTGCTCAAAGCCCGTCCAGCCTGGCAGTCAGCAAACTAATTGCTTGAAGATATGCACACATACAAGCACAGAAACAAGTGATAACTTCTTATTAAAGCTCCATGTTTTTTCAGTAAGAAGCCTTTTTGACACTTAAAAAGAAAATGCAGTAACAGCTGTGCTACAGTGAGCACATGTGCACAGATGATGGATGTGAGTTGTGCTCTGTGCCCCAAGTGGGTAAATGCATTTATTGTCCACGTAAGCAGTGCCAACAGGGAGTGTACACGGCAGCACCGGTAGTGGGATGGATAGCCAAACCTGAGCGAGGGAGGAATTGATAACTGATGGCTTAAGGAAGGTTAATGTAGGAGTACATTGTCCAGAAAAAACTGGTAAAAGCCCTTGAAACAGAAAATGCTTAATTTAAAACAATACTTCCTCAAATAGCCTTGTGCATAAGGTCAGGTTTCACTGAGAAGTTACACGAAGACCGCAGTCTTGTACTCTTATTATTGAATATAATGCAACAAATTAGAACTTCTTGCAAACCACCTCTGGTATATCACAGTAAAGTAAGTGATAAATTGCTTGCATAAGTCTGCATGCCCATAGTTTACAAAAGCTCAGTCAGAGTAGTTACAGTGGTTGAAAATTAAATTGGGCCTTGTACTTAAGATAGGTTTGCATGCGTAAATAGCCTGTAGGATAGCTCGCAGCCTCTAGCAGAGCTGGAGTATTTAATTTGAATTTCTTTAACATTTTAATGAGGTAATATTCCTTACATTTATGCATAGCTTCTTTGAAACCAATACAGATTAAGCATGTACTGTGTTAGTGGGACTGTCCATACACATATTTCTTTATTAAAAAGATTAAATTGATAAATTATAAAAGACATAGTTGAAATATTTCAGTCCTGTCAGCCTTGTCATTAATGGAATTTAACCCCGCTGTCGCCTAATTCTTGCTGTATAGCTAGTTTTCTGGACCTAATTGCACATATGTGCAGTTTCTTGCTAGCGTAATTACACTTCCAAGAACACCAAAGAGCAAAGATCTACCACTAGGCAAGTTGCTAAGAAGTGGCATTTTGTATACAAGAAGGCAAAAAGAGCATTATGAAAGAAGGAATGAGCATCTACAGTTCAATTATAGAATCTGAAGTCTCTTAATACATGAGTTGAAATTGTTTGGGTGGGTTTTTTCCCCAGGCACTCCAATTGAAAGGCTTTCCTCAGTGGTGCTGCACTTCTCTGTTCCATATGCTGTCTGTGACAAAGCTTGGGACACCTCATGTCCACCAACCAGAAAATCACAGAACGGTTAGGGTTGGAAAGGTCTTTAAGATCATCTAGTTCCAACCCCCCTGCCATGGGCAGGGACACCTCCAGATTACCCTTTAAATGCTGTAGATTCCCCCCTCCCCCCCCCATTTTACAGGTGAAACGCAAGAAGGCAAAATGAAGTGCCTTCCCTGGAGCAGAACAAAGGTGGTGGTTGCCCGTTTGGGGAAACTCATGTCCCTCTTTAGTATCAGCAGAGGTGAGGGATGCTGGTGTAGTACCTCATCTCAGCTTTGCTTCCATCACTTGTGCTGTAGCATGGACAAACCTTTGTCAGATTTGAAGGAAATCTGTTCGCTGTTTCTGCCAGGAACCCCATTGCTCCCAGCATGACACTAATGAGGCAAGTGCCTTTGGAGATTCTGCTTCAGAACTCGGAAGTAAATACAAGTTTGATAAAAACACAGGTGTGCCATCATCACTGAATTAGCATAAATTACCTACATGAGCAGTGCTTGGAGTAAGCACCTGTAGTTACTTAAAATGAATATATAAACTCAGCATTTAAATAACCACAGATTCATATTTAAACTATAGTGATTGATCCACCATGTATTTCCAAAGCTCTAGCAGTGTGCTTAGAGGAGTGACAGTCTAAGAAGACAGGGTCTCATGATTTCCCAACTACAGAAGATATATTCATTAATGTGCTAATAAACTGGGGAGCATGAGGCTGCAGAAATGTGTTTAAACCCTCCATAGCTGTGACTTGCAGCACCCATCATCGAGCCCCTGTGATCACTGAGCAGTGCTTCCTTTGCTGAAACATTAAGAGCATAAGAAAGCAGCAGCCTGTGGTGGTTTTCCTGTTTTCTCCTGACTTCCACTGCCGGCTGGCGGGAGTGAGACGTTCCCAGCCGGTCTCTGTGGTGGTGCGACCTCTCCTTGCCATCTGGATTATTGCTTAGCCCAGGTCCCAGGACCCTGCTGGTTCCCGAAATACTCAAGAGCTCACCTTGTGAGGGTTTTCTGTGCCATACAAATGCGTGAAATGTAGGGGGTGCATCTGCAGATGCAAAGCAAGGTCAACTCAGGTGGTTTTATATGGCCCTTCAGTGGACCCCTCAGAAAACTATCCTGAATATGTGTGAACAGGCAAACAAAGGCAAGCACACTGACATTTTGGTAATGGAAGGGAATGTTAAAATGTCAGTGAAAATGTCACATTTAGATTCCCATTGTGACCACTTGAAGTAAAATCAGGGCCATTTAATGGAGTTTTATTCTGCTGTTAAAGGCAAACACAACTGTTTAAACAACTTGTAAGACAATTCAGAGCAGATGTTGCTCATAAATGTGGCAGGGAGGAAAGCAAGATAAGGCAGTGGTGTGTTTAAAGGTGTGTGCTTACTGCTCCTTTTGTGACTGGCTTTAAGGAGGATTGGGTAAAACTGAATGGAATTTGTTTTATTTAAATCTTTAAATGGTAACTGGGTGTCTTGTAGAATTAAATATTTGGCACTGGCGTGCGTGCTCTGGCAATGCTCTGAGCAACCGGATAGTTTCCTTTCCCGTGTGTTAGTACATGTAGGGAGTAACAGCTGTAGCATTGGGTAAAATGTGCATTCTTGGTTTACAAACTTATGCCAGAACTACAAATAAAACAAGTTATGTGAATACCTGTCTACTTCCTATGCAAATATCTGTCAATTTAAGAAACTGACCATGAACTTTGGACTAATTTGTTTTACAAGGGGCTTTGGAGGAACTTGCTTTACAAATTCAGGCTTGCTTTAGAAAGGTTCTTGTAGAGCCACTGGTGGCTAATTACTTTTCATCATCCTTAATCCATACTCTGTTTGAACAAGTAATGATGATATAATAGGGTTGTAGTCCAAAAGAGACCTGCATAGCTTTTCAGATGAAATGTGCATGATTTTACTTACAAATGCTCAGAGGGACTGACTCAGGAGGCTAATGATGGTTAATGGTTCACCTCTCAAGCAACAGTTTGTTGTGGAGGTGATGGTTATTACCAATTAACTTCTTTCCCTGTATTCTGTTCAAATGGCAACACTGCTGTATACCTGGGGTGATCCCTCCTGCTAGTCAATCTATGCAGCTTTTTCTTTTTAAGCTGTATTCCCCTAATGTATATCCACCTTTTACTGCCATTGAATCTGCATGCTTTTTCTTTGTAAGGATGGAACCTTCTGTTGCTGTAGTCCAGACTATAGGTTTCCATATGTATTTATGAAAACATCTTTTACATCAGACTACTGTTTTGATGGGGTTGTCATGGAAAACTTCAGTTCTCAGAATCCTTTACATCTGATTCCCAAGCCCCATGGTTTTCAGTTAACAGCCTGTCTTTCCTGTCTTTTCTTTAAAAGCTGCTTGCACGACTTGAGGGCAGAAGTGCTCTGAAGAATCTTGAACCTTATCTGTTTGCTGAGGAAGGATCTCCTGTTCACGGTAAAAATGTATTTTTATCCCATTTATGGAAGAATGTTGGTGTGAAAGTATGCTCAGAACAGTAGCACAGAGATAAGCATACAAGTAGATTTTTTTTTGCCCTGGATTCAGAATTTCAATTGTTGATGTAGTTTTATGCAGACTAGATAAAATGAAATAATGCAGAGTCACTATTCTGAATATTATTAAATGGACTTTAAAATCTACTTTTTGGGTATCAAAACAGGTGTAGGTGAGTAAATACCTAACATATTGGTCTGTTTCTAGTAGTTTTACAGAAATTTGTTCTAGATTATGTCAATTAACCTTTTTTTTCATTAGTGGTCTAAAAAAACCACCACAAAATCATAAATTTGGAAAGAACCTGAGGATCAATAAACAGCAAAGAGTTCAGTTGTATGGAGTGGTCTGGATCAGTTAGGAAAAGGGTTCATGAGCAAACACTGTCAATAAAGCCAAGTCATCAAGCTATTCAGTCTTGGCCTGAAAAATCCTGATTATACTGAGATGGAACTTTGGAAACAATTCCATTATGAATATAGGTACTAATCAGCTGAATGAGTTTGCAGATGATGTTAGGATCAAAATGGCTTATATAGACCTTCAGGGAATAAATGAGAATTTAACATTGGAGGAATCAGGCCACCTCCCAGTGACACCAGTAGAAGTTTAAGGTAGATTCTTCTAGCAGGAAGTTTTTAAGATCAAGATTGGGTGTTTTAATGAAAGAAATTATGGAGCTAAGAAGAAAACACACTTAGGAATTCCTTGATTCTTCAGGAAGTCAGACTGATTTTTCAGATTGTGTAAAATGTCATGGATTTCACAATGGAGGAGACTAGAAATCTACAGTAAAAAAGGCATATGAGTGGCAAACTGTTCGGATTGTGCTGGGAGGCACTACAGTTGTTGAATGTATGTATGAATTAACGAATGAATGAATTCCATATGAAAAAGGTGGTTGCAGTGGTTATCAACATACTTGTCTGCAATTGGAAGTTTGGGGTTTTTTTCTGACGTGTACCACAAGAAAGCAAATATTTGAGACTAAACTGGCCATGTTCTGGTAGAACAGACTGTCAGAAGCCTTCCTGGGAGTTAGTAATTGCCTTTGCTGTCACAGCCCACAGCATTACGTAATTCTATCATCAAATTATCAGCTTCGCTCTTAAAAGCTGTGTAGGTTGTTCATGTCTATCCAAAGACTGTTCCAGAACCTTAGTTCTAACATGGCTGGAGACCTTCTAAATTTGTCACTGGTTTCTCTGTGCCAAGATGATCGTTGAGCTTCCGAAGCACTTCTTTTTTCTGCTTTTAACAAATGGCATCAATTATTACCCATATTGGTCGTGCTTTCTGGCTGACATTAATGAAGCTGTGTAACATTTTAGCCCAGACCTTTAGCTGCGTATACATAAATGGACTTCACCTTTTATTACATTTTTGCTTTGTCTTTTAATACCACAGTATTCATGTGAGCCTATATGCTATTTTGATGTGTGTTCTCATTATTCAGTCTTAAATTCCTGTTGAAGACCTGCCTCTCCATTTGTCATGAACTTGACTTCTAGTAGGTCACTGTGGAATACTGTAATACATTGCCCATGAAAGCCATATTGAATAGCTCTTAATCTAAAATACTGTGATTAAAGTAGTGCAAAGACCTAAATTATTCTTTTTTCCTGATGGTATTTGAAACATAGAGATGAAGTTTCAATAAACTGCCCAAAGGTTACATCATAGTTAAGTGTTCATAACATGTATGTCAGAGTACTCTAAAGTAGGAACAGCTAATATAGGTAGTGCTGTGATATTCTAGTCACTGCTTCTAATTATGATGGATTTGCATATTGAAGAACACATAAGCATGTTAATTACATATCATTTAAGCTCTTCTGGAATGGAGCAAAAGTGACACGAGCTTTAAACAATCTTCTGCTGTTGGCAGTCGTATTTCTCCTGTGCCACTGGTATGAAGTTGTGGGTGTCAGTATAAGGCTCTGATAATTCAGCAATAGTGTGACACCCAGAATTAACTTGAAATAAATATTAGGCCTTTCTACTTTACCGATAAATGGCACAAATATTAGTGACAGCTTCTGCACAGTATTGTAAATTACTAGTCCAGTAACTTCAAGGTATCTGATGATGTGAAACCTGCAGAGTTACTGCTGCACAGTCTAATAGCCTGTTTGTAACTGCAGCATCAGAAAACCAGGGTTCGCTAATGTAATGATCACATACAAAACTTAATTCAAAAGAGAACACTGAACTGGTGACCAGGACTGAGCACAGTTTCAGTCAAAAATCCATTAATGTTACATAAATATTTACATTTATGCAACATCATTTAGTTTATCCTGTAGGCCATTGAGCATCCGTGTACTATTGTGCCATTCAGTCTGTCCTTCGCAGGCTAGTTCAGGCTAGTGTGAGCCAAGCAATGTGTAAGGTGACTCCTTAAAAAGTACTTCTTGAATGTTCAGTGCTGAATTTCACAGGAAATCATTCCGCTCATCCATGTTGATCTTGTAAATCTTTACTGTCTTAAGTCTTTGTTAGCCCATTGGTTTGTTTTCACACATTTTGCCAAGCTAATGGAGCACACGTCTACTGAGAGGTGGTAGGACAGCACCAATTCTAAGAGGAAATTTTCCCATTAGCTTTCTTCCATGTTAAAGTGTCTGTTCCTACTCTTGTCTTTCAGACTGTTTTCATCCTGTAACAGTATTTTTTTACTAATCTTCCTTTCAAAGTTATTTTGACATTAATGGATGATGCCAGTACTGACCTGCTGTGAGGGCGTCAAAGGCTTCTTGGAAATGTTGCTAGCCACACTTCCTCCTCTGCTGTATCATGGGTTGTCCTCTCAGACCCAGAAAGATGAAATTTCCCTGTTATCTTACTCTAACAGCCTTGTTGCTAATTTAATGAAACCCTACATTTATAGATGTTGCTATAAATGGCTTCTGTTTTGCACCCATTCTCCTTGTGGGCAGCCTCTTGTGGGCAGCCTCTTTGATAATCATGAAGGCACAGAAATCCCTGGCTCTCTTGAGGTTTTCTTAAAGTCCGAGCTGTTACTCCTTTCAGAGTGACTTAAGTGTTTTGGTCAAACTATAGCCCAGATGTGTCTCATTCAGTAGTGTTGAACAAGCTTTGAAGGGTGCTTAACTGTCTTGCTGTTACAATTTACAAACCACCGCCACAAAAACTCCTAACAATGATTTGTCATTTAACTTAGTATTTTTACTTGAATAAATCTGTTAGTTGTGCCCATAAAAGCTCATCCAGTGTTATTGTTATTCTGTAACACCTAGACATCCTGACATAACGTCTTCGAATGGATAAAGTCATGGAATCGTAGAATGGTTAGGGTTGGAAAGGACCTTAAGATCATCTAGTTCCAACACCTTGCCATAGGCAGGGATGCCTCACCCCACACCGTGTCATCCAAGGCTCTGTCCAGCCTGGCCTTGAACACTACCAGGGATGAAGCATTTACCATTTCTTTGGGCAACCTCTTCTATTTCACAGGAAAAGCTTTTCTGAATCATTACCAAGCAGTAACTCAGATTTGCCCACTGCTGCTTCTCAGTGGCCATGTGTGTCTGCTGGTTTGTCTTAAGTCATATTTTGCTGTAAAGGTAGATGAGGCAATCTGCATTGCAGATTGGCCAAGTCAGTCACTAGCTGGCAGAAGCGTTGTGCCAAAGCTAGTGGCAAACAGATGCACTTTGTTCCTTAACAAGAGGTGCCTTATGCAATTGTTCTAAAATATTTCAGTAGATGAAATGTGAGGGATTGACCTACCCAGCACGTTTAAGAGGAGTTCTTCCAAGCTGGTATCTTATCCCAGCGGGGCACGGTTATGTTACTGGCACAGTCTGTGGCAGCAGAGCAGCTGCTGGCTGCAAGTGGCTGAATTGGACATTGTGACCTGTGAACAGGAAGAGAAAATGAAGATTTATGTAATAGGAAGTTTAGTTGTTGTTCATCTCGAAAGTGGGGAGAGCCATTCAGAACAGGTAAGTGAGGGTTTGGGAGGCAATCAAGCTTTTTTATAAATTTCAAGGTATCAGAAGTTCATAAAATGGAATTGCAGTTGTGGAGCAGCAGGAATTTCATTATCCATAATGGCAAGCAGTCTGAGTGTCACTGGAATGCACAGAACTGTCACATCAGCTGTAAATTGCTTTCAGTACTTGCAACGGGTGAAGTAAGAGCTTAGTTTCTTCCCCACCACCCTCTGTCCCTCTTCCCAAGGCATATCTTGACATCGTACGCACTTAAGGACGCCCTCTGGAAGCTGAGTAGTGACTTGAAAAACCCTGTTAACTCAGCCAGGCAAAAACATGTTTAACCAAGTTGTAATTAATTCTCTATTCTTGCATCCCCCCTGTGAGAAGCTGTTATGCCATTTGTACTTGCCAAGGCCATAGGAATCTCTCACCTTCCTGCAGTTACAGTCGTGTGATTCTCCCTCCTGCATGTCTTCACCCTTCTGCCTGAAGTCCCAAATGTCATAAATAAATAATCCAGTTTCCAAAATCAGGAATTTATAAAGAGCATCTAGTAATTCAACTTCTTTTAGTCTTGCTCTGATACAAGACATCAGAAGACATTGGAAAAGACCAGAGTATCTTGCATTCACATCCGACAAAAAACTGCTTTCCTAGTAAAGCATCATGGTTTTTTAATTAACATTTTAAATGTGAGCTGTATTTTACTGACCCGTGTGGAGCAGGTGGTTAGGCTGAGTCCATTTAGGAACAGAGATCCTGTGCTTCAGACAGGAGAATCATTGCCTGGAGTTGAAGGAATCCAAGCTCCCTGTGCCAAAAACCAGCAGTTTCATATTATGATCACCACAGAAGAATGTAAGTGCTAAATACATATACTGGCATTCTCTTTACTGGTTACAGATTCCCCTTGATACTTCATGATGCGCATAGATACTGCACAAGCATGTAGCGTACATGAAATGCCGAAGGACAGTCTGCACTGTAAAAATACATGTGCCAACATCGTTTGGACTTCTAATATGTCAACTTTTTGTGGTTTGCTTGTCCTCTACTTGTTTATTTATTTATTTATTTTGTGTGCGTATGATAAATAGATGGTTTCTTAGCCACTCTTGTGTAGCAGCTTCCTTTTCAGTCTTCATTTACCTGTAATGATACACATGAAATCTAGTTGCCAACCTTTTACTGCTACTGGTGTACTAGATGCTATTTGCAGGGGCTTTTCCAACCTTTGTTCCCAGTCGATTTTCTCCACTTCAGAGGCCTTTCTTGAAAATTGGAATTTCTTTTGGTAGACACTAACCAGGATTTAAACAGTTTTATGAATATTAAATTTTCTGTGCCTTTAAACTGAAAGAGGGGAGATTTAGTTGAGATATGATAGAGAAGTTCTTTACTGTGAGAGTGGTGAGGCACTGGAACAGGTGCCCAGAGAAGCTGTGGCTGCCCCATCCCTGGCAGTGTTCAAGGCCAGGTTGGATGGGGCTTTTAGCAGCCTGGTCCAGTGGAGGGTGTCCCTGCCTGTGGCAGGAGGTTGGTACTGGATGAGCTTTAGGGTCCTTTCCAACCTAAACCATTCTGTGCTTCTAAAATGCATTTTCCAGTTTCTGGAATAGTGAGTACTGGTTCAGTAAACACTGAAAACTGACTCTGAGCAGTAAGTACTCCTGCCTGATAACCTACTGCTCTGTTTTTGAACAGGAGATGTCATTGAATTCCATGGACCGGAAGGAACAGGAAAAACAGAAATGCTTTATCATCTTGTAGCCCGCTGCATCATCCCAAAATCAGGAGGAGGTCTGGAAGTGGAAGTCATGTTCATTGATACAGACTACCATTTTGATATGCTTCGTCTAGTTACCATCCTTGAGAACAGATTGGCACAAAGGACAGAAGAAATGATCAAGCAATGCCTGGGAAGGCTCTTTCTGGTGAACTGCAGTAGTAGCACTCAGTTACTCCTCACTCTCTACTCCTTAGAAAACATGTTTTGCACTCACCCCTCTCTCTGCCTTTTGATTTTAGATAGCATATCAGCTTTTTACTGGATAGACAGAAGCAATGGAGGGGAGAGTCTCACCTTGCAGGAGATGAATCTGAAGAAATGTGCTAACTTCCTTGAAAAGCTTGTGAGCAAGCATCACTTAGCCCTCTTTGCAACAACACAGACGCTGATGCAGAAATCTGCAAACTCCGCAGAAAGCTTTTTCCCTTTAAAACTGACACACGAAACTGATACAGACTATAGACCATACCTTTGTAAATCATGGCAACAAATGGTAACCCACAGGATATTTTTCTCTAAGCAGTGTAATTCTGATAACAGCAAAGGTTTCACAGTCACTTCTTGCCACCTCAAAAGAAACCATGTAGTAAAACGTTCATTTAGTATTGCAGAATGTGGAGTGCAGTTTTAACTTCAGTTTGGTTTTAAATGTGTAGCAAATCCTGGTGCTTAATCCTCACTGGCTCTAGGTAGTTTTTAGTACCTTTTAAAGTAGCTGAAGAATTTTTGTCACGATTCTGTCACAAGATTTTAATTCAGTGAAGAGCAGGAAACGTAAACCTGTTTGAAGTACTGTATTCGTTCAGTCCAAACTAGCAAGGAATGTTGAAATTACTTGTTTGTACTTAATAAATAAAGAGATTAAACCAAGAAAATCATAATCAAAGCCATTCTGAACTCCTGGTATCCTTCAGTAATCTAACCTATGTGATACGTGGCCAAATGCACTGACTGGGTCTTACTGCTTTATACTCCTCTTCCAAACTACAGAACTAGGAGCCTTGCTGTCCATGGAGGAGACGGCAAAATGCAAGTGTTCACTGTTTAGACATCCTGGGCTAGGTTTATTCCAGGGACATATGAAATGCATTCACAACTTTGCCCGAAGAAGAGGATTCATTTTCACAGCCTGTTAAACAGTGGTAACGTTGACCATGGTTCCCCAAGCTCACAGCCTCTCTGTGTTAGCGTGTACTTGGAGAAGTGAGGATTGCAGGTGTTTTGACCCTTACAAACCTCTGGGTCTGAAGAATTTACAGTGATCATAGAAATGGAGGCCTGATTGCCTTCAGGAGCCATGAAGAAAAACTAAAGACCCAGCTCTGGGCACCTGTGAGTTTGTGCTGCATACAGCAAACAGTTTAAGCTTTGAAAATAATGGCATGTGGGTTATGGGTTGTTCTGGGTGTGGGGGGTTGGTTTTTGTTGGTTTCTTTAGATGTATGCACAGACATATGTTTGTGTTTTCTTTCTCTGCCCTCCCTCATTATTTCTTCCCACTTCTTTTTCTTCTCCCACTCTCTCTAAGAAATCCAGGAATGCCATGCCTCTGGTCTTCACCAATATGTATTTGCCACATGTAGAACATTTGTGTGCAGGATTTGGCATGCAACATGTTGCAATTCTGGCAAAGAAAATTCAGAACTTATGGGAAATGCCCTACAGTTCTGGCAAAGAATAGCGTATTATTTATTAACCTAGAGTGCCCTTTGAAAGCTTCAAAGTGCTTTACAAGAAAGAAAATTGCACACAGTACATTATTTAATACAAAAACTTACATTAGCTTACAAATTTAAATTACTCAAACAAGGGGGAAAACATTTCTCACAGCAATATTCGTTCAGTCATGTTGCACTGCTTGTTTCATAGTTTAGATTGAACAGATTGTTAACAAAAATGCATATTAAGAAGAGGTATCTAGCATAGTATCTTTTTGAGGAGGATGCCTAAAAAACTGTTGTGAGACACCTTTTAATTTCCTAACTTCTGAAGCCAGCTTTTTCAAGCTGAACAGATGCGGGTTCCCAGCTGTGTGTATCTCGGCGTGCATACCCAGACCTCTGTATGTAGAGCTAGGAGCATGTATCTGTACTGTCAGTCACAGAATGTGGCATCTCTATGATTTGGCTGGATTTCTGCACAGGCAATGATTGTCCCACCTCCGACAGCAGCCAGTACCAAAGGTTTGGAAAGGAGTGTGAGACACATTGGTTTTCAATGGCATGGCCTCCCTGAGGATGGGGCTCGGGGAGCTCCTAAGCAGAGCTGTGGTCAGACCTGTGTTTGATGGATGTTGATCAGACCTGTCTTCCATGAATTCATCCAATCCATTTTTAACTTGCCCTCTTGGGTTCCACCGTGATTTTTCACGATGAGTTCAGTTTAATTATTCTTTCTGTGGGAAAACTTCCTTTTTTTCTTCCCCTCTCATTTTAAACCTTCCATCTGAATGCTTCCTCATGCTGTCACTTCTTTTACTGTGACACATGAGCAAAGCCTGCCTTTTCACCATCTCTGCAGAGGTGATAACTTTATAGACTGTCACTTCATTTGTGCTTTCTCTTCCATCAACACCAATACTTACTTTATTTAGAACTTCTATAAGTGCACAAATGCATTAAAACATACAACTTAACCATTCCTAGACTGGATTCGAGGGAGATGGTTTTACATGAGGAGACACTTCCACTCAGATTAATTATAAAGGGCGTACATGAATTTTTTTCTTAAAAAAAAAAAAAGGAAAGATTTAAATAGAACTATAAAACTTTTAAATGTGAAAATTACCAGACTATATAATTTCTATTACCAAAAAAACATCAATCCCCTTTTCTATTGGAGAATTTAGTGCTACTGAGATTAACTGCTTTGTAAAATTGTATTTACTAAAAAATGTGTTTGAAAAAAAAGCCCAAAACAATGGAAGTGTTCTGGCATTCCTGTCTGGAGAAAAAGCTTTTATGTTACTCACAATGTAGTTGATATTTTGCATTGTACAATAAAAGAAATGCCTAAATGGAAATGAAGCCAAAGTTGTAATTGATCAAAAAGAGCACCTCAGGAAATTTTTTAATTTCCCAGTTTTATTTTACTTTGAAAAAAACAGATTTACTTTTTTTGAATTCTCTGGTAATTGCAGTATTCATGCTCTGCACGTTTGCTTCAGCAGCATAGCAAGCCTGGCTTCCAGAGGTGCTGAGCATCTGCATATCCCTGTACATTTGCAGGAGGGATAGGCACTGTGCAATCCGGGAGTGCACTGACCTTACTTTCTGCTAAAATTATGCCATTTAGAAAAATGAATCTTGAGGATACAAGTCTAAGAAAGATGCAGTGATAAAGAGCCTGGGAAGCAGCAATTTTGTTCATACCTTAATGAACTGTGGATATTAAAAATGGTTTTTTACCTTTTTTTTCAATGGTGAATTATCTTTATTAAAACTATGTAAAAATTGCAGTTAATGGAGAATGCAGTTTCGCCTTGTGAGAACAGGAACAGTATATTAAATGTAGCATTATATGTAGTTTATAGTATTAAATCCATATTCCTCTCTCTCACCTAGACCTAAGTTACCGCTCAGCCTCCAGCCCACTGTCTAACCTGGAGCAACCTGTGCTGCTGCAGCTTAGTCTCCCAGGGAGGAAGCACCTTTTGGGTTAGTAGGTCTGTGCCACTGGAAATCAGCCCTGCAAAAGATAAATGCATGTCATTAGGTATGAGGCTAGAACACATGTATTCCTCAGCTCCCATTTCTCCCGGTACTTCTTAGGAATGAAAATCCTTTCATGTCAGTGTCATTGTTCTGCAGGTCGGTGTTGTATTATTGCGACTTTTTATAGGCGTAGGAACTTTCTACATTCCGTAGAATTTTTGTTTGCTGCTTCATATGCAACATGGATTTAAAGTAGAGAGCTTGAAACAAAGAGAAACTAGTTCGCCCTTTTTTTCCTCATCCTTTTTATAATGAGAGAGCTTTTCAGCAAAACAAAGTTAAGGTTTTACATTCATTTTCAAATTAAACCAGTATATCTATGGACACCTGGAAGGAAAATGCCATTTTTATATTCAGCACAAAGTTCTTTGTATTCCTAGACCTTTTTATAGAGCAAATAAAATACAAATAATGGTTTGCTTGGTTTAAGTTCGTACTTGCATACAAAAATTCAAATTCCCGTTTTCTTACATAACTGATTCCAGGCAGTTAATTTTCCATAGAGTTTGGAAATGGCAGAAGATAAAGGTTCTCATCTGGAAACATACCTGCAGTTGTGTTTTTACTGGAGGCTAATGGACAAAGGCAGAAGGTAACACTATTTGGATGGCTGCTGGTCGTAAGACTTTAGACCATGTCCTGAAGAGGAACATGACAGTTTAGTTATTTTCTGTGGCTGCTCTAATAATTTTCTCTTGAACCTCTTTATCCAAATGTAGTTCTGATATGCGGGTATCATAGCAGGGCAGTGGCCAACACCATTCTGCAATCAGCAAACCTTATACCAGACTTAATACCCATTTGAGGAGAAAGCCACACCACCAAACTTGAACTTGTATAGGATGTTGCAGTGAATACTCACCTGCATAAAAGCTGCAGATCGTATTAACGTTTCCAACAACTATGCAGCAGCGTGAGACTTGGGCATTTTGTAAAGAAGGGGAAACTGGAAGAACTTGGAAGACCTTGAGGCTTTGGCAGTGGAGAAAATTTCCAGACAGAAAGGAGCATCAGTACCATGTGTCTGCAGGATCTTCAGGGTAGAAAACTATCATGCCCTGCAGCAGTCTCTGAAATAAAAGGTTTGGCCATCCCTGCACATAAAAGAAGACAGGAGAACGGCATTGAGCTATGACTAACCTATGGTATGACAAAAGGACTCTAGAACTGTTCACTAACATGTCTAGCATGGTAATACTTTCCAATATAGTTGGTCATAGCTGACCTGCAGGTTCTTCCCACCGAAAGATGAAACACTGTGATGGTTAACACTGTGTAGATGCTATATAGCTTATTTATAATGAAGATATAAAACCCTGCTTCTCTGGACCCAGGAGGAATTAAATGTAAAAACAGACTTCCTTTTCTTATGTTGTTTTATTTTCCTTTTTCTCTCCCTTCCAGCTCTAGGCGCCTTCCCAAGAGTCACCACTTAGCTCCAACAGCACTCACAGCTTTCTGTGTCAGGCCTGTGCTTTACTGGAATTGGGTAGTTTTCTCCTTTGCTGAGAGTTTATGTGTACACTCTTTGTGATCAGCATAGACTGGGAGACCTGAATACAGAAGACTGAACCCATGTGGCACACCAGTGTAAGTGGGAAATAACTTTGGAGACTTCATTCTATATGCAATCGGGAGTAATGTCACATTGGAGTAGATGCTTTTGAAGAAACGTGTCTGTGACTTTCCTTGGGAAAAGATTGGCAGTCTTCCCTCTGCTTTCCCGCACTGCTTTGCATCCTACCCCAACCAACTGGTTGGTGTACCTGTGTGGGCCACAGCGCTTGAGGACAGCAGTGACAAGATGTCACTGCCTTGCCAAATGCTGGGGAACAGCCATGTTTTGGATCTTGGCACTCTCATCCTGCAGGAGTTGGCAGAACCACTATATTTTTTACTTTACATCATTTGCCAGGCTTCTTTCTCATACATGAAGCCAGGCCTGTACTAAAGACCTCCTAGCCCTGGGGAGAGATAAGAAAGATAAGAAATCTTGGGGGTTTTGAGTATAAGAAGTACAAGATTTTTAGGCCGCTGCTATAGAAAGGCCAAGCAAGGCCATGAGGTTCCTGGTACTGGCTGATAGACATCAAGGCCTGAAAGGTGGCTTGGTGAAGGCCAAGGAACAGACTCCGTATCTTCCTTACCAAGTGCTCATATTGTGAAGGGATGAATAGGATTTTTGACTTAGAATCTATGTGCATACTTTCATACTTTACCATGCTGCTGAGAGAGAAGACCATGCTATGGTGGGCAGTATTGTCTCTGAAGTGAATCTCAAGCCTTTCTCAAACTCCATCACTAACAGTTCTGTCTCCAGCCCAACATCTCCATGGACTCCCAGTGTCCATCTGCATGAACGAACAGCAGTGATCAGTGAACATCATCACATTTGCCTTTACTGGGCATGAGGGACACTGTGTGTGTTGGGCGTCATCATCTGGAGCAGATCTAAGCCACGCTTTCCAACTTTTACCATTCTCCATATTTGACATGATGTCACTGGTCAGTGAAAATGCAATAGCAAGTCCACACCCTCCAAACAGCCAGACTTCCAACTGCAAACCCATCCTCTGCCCTCAGACAGCACTTCAGTGACACCACTGCTGAGCCCCCAGCTGAACCCCGATCTCTTGCACTGTGTTTTCCCTGAAGAATCCTTTTCCACAGAAGTGCACAACTCCAGGTATTATCCCACAGTTATGCAACAAACAGTGCAATGAATGGGTTTAGAAAATCAGTGTACGTTAGTGGAGATCTTGTCAAAGCAGGCTGGTTTCTGCTCAGTAAAATCTCAGGCAGTTTTAACAGCTCTGAAGCTGCTTTTGACTTGCAAAACTGCTAATATTTTGCAAGTCAAAAGCAGCTTCAGAGTTGCTAAAAACAGTATTTTTAGGTACAGAAATTACTCTAGCGTGTCCTCAACATTATAAGGTCAGGAGAAGCCTCTCTCTGCTTTGCACAGTGGCAGTTGTGCCACTACAGCTGCACAGCATCCGGAGGTGTTGCTCTGCTGACTTCCAGCAGTACATCACCTGCTGGGCTTGCCTTATCCCTCCTCAAAAGCAGCATGTCTTTGCGATTTGGGCTTATGGATGGGGTCATGTCCTCTGGCCAGGGTCCTGCCTGCAGCAGGGCAGGTATGATGACGTGTATGTCTTCAGCAGGTTCTCCACACAGTTAATCTGTGGCTGGTCACATCCTGCCTCACTGCTGTGGAAAGCAGGGCAGTGAAGGAATAGCCCAGCTTGTCCTGAGCACCTGAAGCCACCCCTGAGATGACAGAGGTTTCCTCTCCAGGTCCAGAATCCATGGAAGGGCAGCTGGGAGAGAGTCTCCAAGGCAGAGCTGTGCCCCAAGTGAGAAGAGGCTCTGAGGTATAAAACTGTGAAAACTATTTAATAAAAATTGTCTGTTGCAAAGCTGAATAATGTAAGAGCTTAGTAATTTCTCAGCCTGCAAAGCTATCAACTCACACAGCCAAACCGTCCAGAACTGGGGGGTTAACTACTGCCCAGACTGAGTAAGGAAGTGAGAGGGGGAAGCGTAGAGAAGAGGGAGGCTGTTTGGGGAGCCTCTTATGGCTTTGCTGAAGCATGGGAAAAAGGAAAGCCATATGGTCAGCAGAAGCTGGCAGGCAAAGGGCTCTGTTTCACTCAAGAGCCTGTGAAAAATGCCCACAATGGAGAGGAATGGCTTCATTGGAAACAGCAAACAGACTCCAAAATGGTCAGGAGGTTGCAGGCCACCATGATGAAGAAAACCTGGCTGCAGAGGACATACCAACAGAGGTGCAGGTCTGCTCCTGCATGTCCTGCTGGGCACAGCTCATTGCCACTCCAGGCTCCTCTCGTGGCTCCTTCCAGATAAAGGTGGGAGAGAGTTCAAGCCATTCTGACAAGCGGAAGGCTGGTGGGAAGCTACTCTGTCCGCATGGCTGCTGGGCAGTCTTGCCCCATGGTGGGGAGCTTTTGCATTCTGTGTCATGACTGGACTTTCCCTCATCCTTTATGTTAACACCTTAACATTGTGATTCTGCAGTGAGGCTAATGCCACTGTTTGCACTTAGATCACTATATATATCAGCAGTACTTTTCTAACAAGAAAGTCCCATTTTGTGAAGTTGTACAGGTGCTCCTACTTCCACCCATGATCATTTCACCCATGAAAATGATGTTATTAATAAAATCTGTGAATACCCTAAGCAAATGATGCAGACCTGTTGCATAGTCAGTGAAGCTACAGAAGCCAGCAGAGCTTTGAATAGCCCATGCAGTTAAAGGAAAGGGCTCACTGGCTTTAAAATCCATGGATGTGTTCAAAATGCCATTATTCTGCTGTCCTGTTCACACCAACCCTTGCAGGTTGATGCCACACAACCCTTCCCATTGATTGATGCGGCCTGCACGAGTGCTCTCAGTGTATTAAGCCCGAAGTCCCTGGCTGAAGATAATTAACTTAAACACCCCTGTCTCTCAGAGCAGACGCACAAAAGGATTTGCTAGCACAGCTGTTGATGTGGAAATGTCCTGCGGGATGCCATAAGCATCCTAACAACTGGCTGAACTTTCTCCTTCACTCCCACAGGTGTGGTTAACTAAAGCAGCAGCCAGTGCTGGCTGGAGGCAGACCCAGTGCCTGCCAGAGAGTACCCATGATCAGCTCAGCTTTCCAAAGGCACTGCTGGCTGATAAACACTTGGGAAAGGTCACCTTCCATTAGACCAGGTTGCTCCAAGCCCTGTCCAACCCAGCCTTGAACACTGCCAGGGATGGGGCAGCCACAGTTTCTCTGGGCAACCTGTGCCAGGGCCTCACCATTCTCACAGGAAAGAGCTTCTTCCTAATGTCTAATTTTTCAGCCCAAAGCCACACCCCTCTTGTCCTACCCTTACATGCCATTGTAAAACCATCCCTCCCCAGCTTTCTTTTTGTCCCCTTTAGGTATTGGAAGTGAATGTTAATTGGAAATGAATGTTAATGAGTTAAAGCAGCACAACAGAGTGTTGAGATTTCAAAGCAGGCTTTTCTTTCTGTGTGTTTGGGGTTTATTGCAACTACTAATATCTCTTCCAGGAAACAAAATTTCCCAATACTTCCTTTTCTGGTAAGTCATACAGCGTGTGTGGTATCCTACCCACAGGAGACCTAAGAGGCAAAAGGCAAGGAAGGGGTACAGTCTCTGGGTTTATTTTCTGGACTGAAGCTATACTGCAGTTTGGACTGTGCATTACACAGCAGTGCTGTTCCACTTATGGATTGATCTGATACATCATGGGCAATGGGAGAAGGGGGTACCAGAAGACAGTGCAGGCGGAGCTACAGACGGAGGTATTTAAATGAACACAGTGGATATAAAGAGGGCAGAATTCTGCAGTGTCTGAAACCCAAGAGTAAAACTTTGAACTACTCCTTTTGCATTTGCACTTTTACATATACAGCACAGCTGAGTTAGAGCCTGAAGATGGAAACATGCAGACACAGGACAACGTGGCTCATTTCCTAGGTCTTTTGATCCCACAACCTGTTTTCTCTGGGAGCAAAGTCTAGCTTCTAGGAAAATAAAGGTAACACAAAGTGCTGTCAGGATAAGAAATCACCAAATACCAGTAGAAAAGTTCAAAATGTGCTGGGTTCCCAGTGCTTAGAGTTGATGCCTGGCTAATCTCTGCTCTGGACCATTTCAGTGTCACTGTTGTCCTGCCATTTATTTGAAGCCAAACCCATTATTTTTGGGAAGCCAGTAGGTTTGCAGACTCTCCTTCAAAAAACCATTCAATACAATTATGGGGTAGGATGTACTAAAGCTAGAGTTTTAATTCATCAACAGACTAAGCCATGCATTTATCTGCCTCTAGGATTCTTGTGAACAACAGCAACACACAGATAGGCCTGAAGGCATTTCATCTTGCAAAGCCATCACAGTCCAAAACAGAACATTCAGAGGGAACAGGGAAACCTTTCAGCTCTGGCCATGTGTCATGAAAACTGAATGCAAGGTGCATTTTCTTACACTGTGGCCTCCTGCCCCAGGTTTCCTCCCTCTCTGAAGCTGTGGGCAGAAGCTCAGGGCAGTGAATCTCCCCTTGCTGAAAGAAGCCCACTGTAAGCCAGAATAAATACAAGTAGATACTGGAATAGAGGCTGGAGCCTCATCTCATTTTGGACTTGCCTTGTCTCGTTCTCACTAGTTCATTGGTCTTGATACTCAAAAGCAGATCCTGATAATCTTGGGTCAGGTGATGTTTTGAATACAAAAGGAAAGAGAGGTCAGAGCGGTTCTGATACAAAGAACCGAACCCCCCAGTCCTATGCAACTGTGTAAAAGCCTTAAGTACTCCTGGATAAGGAGTACTTACCTTTTTGTAGTACTTAAGTACTACCTTTTTGTAGAGGTACAGCTGATGGCCTTTTTCAAATACCCATTTGTAATGCAGGAAAGGAAACATAGAAGATAGTTTGGAATGCAGCTTGCCAAAACTTCTGCCACCAAATAGCAGAGCTTAAAGGTCTGTTTAAGACGATTTAGCAAACACAAGCCTAAAAGGCTTGGGTATAGTGCAGCTTTGCAACAACAAGTGGCCACAGAATAGGTTCTGTAGTGCTGTTGGCTGGTGACACTGCTGTGTATTTGCTGGATGTCTGTGTAGCTAACATTCACAGACAGGCCATGGTAACTCCAGAACCACCTACAGCCTTAAATGCTAATAACTACAGCAGACAGAAAACAATAAACCTATCAAGAAAAACAGACTTGAAACAATGTGAAGAAATGGATGCAGGCAATAAAAATAGAAACATTTCCCCCGTGAATATATATGTATATACATAATTAGAGGCTAATAACTAATGCAAGTCTTGCTAGTGAGAAGCTAAGCTACTCCTTGAATGATTAACTTGTTACTTATCACCAGACTGTGGATATCTTGCCTACAACAGACTGCCTAAGTAATACAGATCTTTTTCCAGTTCATTTTTATCAGTTCCCTTTGTCAGGCCCTGGTGGCATTGTTTGAGTTTGACTTTGCACAGAAGCCACTGACAGAAACACATTGCCGAGTGTGCTGCTCTGCTGGCACGACTCAGGTTTGTCAGCGCAATGGATAGATCTCAGCCGTGCACCCCAAGTTCAAGACGCCTCCTGCCACTCCACCACATGCTAAATTCCAGTAAATTGCTTAATCAACATAACGAATGCAAACCCACTCCAGTCTGCACTAGAGGTAGCTGGAAATACCCTCTTGTACATCACCAACGATGCCTGACGTTTAACAATGCAGCCTAGATTTTATCTGCTCCCGAGAGCTGCTCTGTGCACACCCCTTGTAAAATTTCCTTTTTCATTGTACAGGAAGTATTTCTGGTTAACTATTTTGGTAGTCTCATTTGTATTCCCTATTTCTAGAAAGGCTCATGCGTGTGTTTAATGCGTAAGTAGTTCAAGGGGAGTCAATGGGCAAATTTGTATCTTTAAAGTTAAGAGTGTTCACACATCTTTATAAAGTCAAACTGGACTTTGCATCTACACCTAAAGCTTTTCTCCAAGCTGCGTCTGCCAGAACACACATAACACAACCAGATTTCTAACACCAGTCCATTGTTACTCCATCTGGAAGCTCAAAATCCACCATTGACTTTTACAACCATCATACATGGCTGTCTTTCTTTTTCCTACTTCTTTCCCAAAATGCTCAGAACATGGGGCATGAAAACATGACTGTGGTGGGTAGGAAGGTGCGAGCACAGACATATTCAGTTGATGATGACTGGAGCAGGGAAGTGGGCTGTGCTGGCAGTTGCTGTGGTCCCACATTGTGATTCAGAGGTTTGTGGTGGTCCCCACGGATGGTCTCACAGCACAGTGTCCTGTTACCAGGATGACCTGCACCCATTCCAACTTTGTTCTGGATCAAAATCCGTGATCTAGACATCTTCTCTTGCCAATCCCCTGTATTCTTCATGGCCCAGTCACTTGTCACATCAAACATCAGTCATCATGTTGATGGCTTAACAGCACACTAATCTTTTGGTATAAATGTTCCAGTCAGAAAAACCCCCAACAAAATACAATAACCTATGTCACAAGTAAAAAAGAGCTGCAGTTTTCCTATCCCGGTTTCATTTTCTCTAGTGCAAGGCTGGGCCAGTCTAACACTCAATAGAGAAGTAAGCTCAGTAGAAAAGCACAACTGCTGCCTACATAACATTAAACTACCAAGTAGAAACAGCATTTTTTGCTCAGTGATTGCATTCCCTCCCACTCTCACACAAGCCAAGAGGAGTCTCTTGTGGTTCCCCAGGGAATGGGAGACAAGCACTGGGCTGCTCTTGGCTTGGCTGGGTTTTTTGTTTGTGTTGGACACATGGTGCCACTCCCCTCATCAGCTCCAACGTCCCAAAAGCAATTTGTTTTCGGTTAAAACCAGAAAAGTCAGTGCTTTCTTACCAGCACACACTCTGGGGAAGGCTGCCCTGCTGACAAAGCAGCTGTCCCATGCCGTCCATGTCCAAGAGCCGTAGGCCCCATGGCTCCCACCCAAATCTCAGGCGCGTCAGAAAAGCACAAACACAAACTTTCCAACCTTTTGCTACTAAGCCAGCTATAGTGCTGGTTTGGCAACTGCAACACTCCTTTCTCAGCCTCATTGGGCCCCATCAGAGCCACGTGGACACAGAGATCAGCTCACGCAGCTCAGCTTGCAGGACCGGTGCCTTAATTTGTCATGCTCGTGTAATAAATCAATTTATTTCCTTTAACCAAGGGTTAGTCAGCAAACTCTTACTCATGCATTTCTCATACAGTAAGTAAGTTACGCTTCCCAGTGGCATTTGTGTGAATGCGGTTCTGACTGTGGCCTTGCCTTCGCTTCAGGAGAAGTAGCAAGGAAGGTAAGACTGATTTGACTGAGATATCAATTCTCTTGTGACCCCTCACAAGCAATAAAGACCTAAGTTTTATTAGGAATGGTGCTGGATTGTGGTCTGCACTGCGTCCTGTACACCATGGCACAGGAGAGGGATGTTGTCCTCCAGATACTTGGCCTGGATGCAAGCAGTTCACTTGCAGCCCCTCTGCCACCCCCTGGTTCATGTCCCAGGGGTGTATGCAGAGGTTCTTTGCGCCAGAGCTTTCCCACTGAGCCATGGGAGATCTCATCTGTCCTTCTGGGCAAACAGGTTGTTCCAAGAGCTATCTTCGGTTATCAGCATCACCAAAGGCACCTCTGCAGCTCCCTCTTCACCCCACTCAAACTGGTGTGCTCAGGTGAGCTTGCACGGGGGCTTGGAGCAGGAAGATGTTAACACAAATCCCCTCAGCTTTGCTCCTCCCGACCTCTGTCTGATGGGTCTGTAAAACCTACGGGCCCATGTGCTCAGCCCGCCCGTGCAGCTGTGGAGTAATCTCTCAGAGGAAGTGTCTCCCCATGGATTAATGGCTCTAAGAACTAATTATTGGGTAAGCTGTATAAACAGTCCCTGGAGTGCCTCTTCAGTACTCAGCTTTTGGGCTCAAACCAGGCCGAGCAGGCAAGAAGAGTTTCAAAGGACTGCCTGTCGGAGCAAGGGATGATGTAGGTGACTCTGTGGCTTTATCTCTCACAGCCTAAAAGGACAGAAATGTCCACAGTGGTCATTTGGGGTGAAAATTTATAGCTTATTAATTAAAAAAAGGGGAAAAACAAAACAAAAAAAAAAAAGCACCATTTCTAGGCCAGATCATAGATTCTGGGCTGCCATCCAATGTCAGGAAATGTTCCCCTCCCGGCAGGGGATCCAGGCTAAAAGGTTATTCAATACTTTCTGGTTGATTCTGCATTTGAAATAACTGCCTTAAATGATTGGTTTTGGCCTAAGAAACTGTTTGCTTACCTGGCACCTGAACCTCGGTGATAAACTTTAATGTCCTCCTCGGAGTATTCCCGCAGCACGCAATGGAGGCTGTGTGCTGTCCCACTAGCTATAAATCCAGCCTTTTTTTAAGGCAAAATTCAAAATCAGATGTTGCTCACTGTCTTCCAACAGTCTTGCAACTCCCATCTATCCATCAACATCCAAAAGTTTTAAAAGCCCTGCTTAAGCATATCTCCACTCCATTGACGGAATAGCCTTTAATATTTTATAGCTCTGACTCGCACGTCTAAAAGTACTAATTAATCTCGCTAGATAAAAACTGGCACAAAATGGCACAAGTGAGAATAGCTCCATCCTTTCTCCCAGCAACCATGTGCCAGTTCATCTTGGAGCATGTAATGATTTACTGTAATAGTTTCAGGCCCGTAATGGGGCCAATAACTGGCATCTGGAAGCTGTGAGGCTCCTTCCCAATGGATGCCATTCACATATAGTTATTTAATTAACTAACGGCTCCACTAGCATAAGCCAGTGAAGGGTCCATTAAAGCCTCTTCTTTTTTAATATCTTCCAAAGTAAGAACATATGCTGAGCACTGCCTTCCCCTCGGAGAGAGCTTAATGCTGCAACCTGTTTATCTTATGACTGATTTTCAGATTCCACCTTAACCAGCTGCTTTTCGCTCGACTTTGGGCTTCAGCAGAGAGCGCGCTGCCGAGCGCGCAGCAGGAGCTGCAGGATAGCATTCTACCTGCATGTGCTCATTGCCGCGCGAGGTGCCAGGCCCCTGCGAGGGCTGCCTGGGTGCACGTGAGGTGCTTTACCCTCGCCTGTCCCTCTGCTGGAGCAACCAAACACAAAGTAATAAATAAATCAAGGTGTGGAGTTCGTTTGGAACAAGGAAAGTATCAGTGGGAAGGCAAACCCCACCACACACCGGGGGGAGTTGGTCAGGTTTGCAAAAAGCATTTGAGAGCCCGGTCCCATGTGAAATGTGGAAAAGCCATCAGGAGCCATACAGCCAGCAAAGATGAGTTTGGTCTGGTTACAGCACCAAAGGATTTTGCTTCCCAAACGATGAGGATTCCTATTCATAAGGTGCAATTAAATGCAAACCATGTCCAAATGGGTGCTGGTCTGCAGCAGGGTGAAGGGCTCATCCACCAGCCTCACGGCTTCTGCAAGGAGCTGAAGCAGGAGGTAAGAGTCCCTTCCCATGCCACAATCTGGGCACAAACACTGGTGCTGTGCAGCAGGCAGTATCTAAGGAGCTGCTTCATGAGGATGTAGGAGACATGGACTTGGTGAACCTCTGAAAAGACAAGGATGTCATTTAACAACAACTGTCTAAAGTAAGCACTGATGACATGGCATAGCACAGCACTCGCTCCCTTATACTGGATCGTGATATACAGGACATGTCAAAAGTTCCATAATCCCTCATGCAGAATCCTTTTCTCTGGCTGTAATGTGCTGAGTTGTTCCTCCTCCTCCTGCTTTCCCTCCCACCGGCCCACAGCACAGCCTTCTGCCTTTTGTGGTGGCATGCTGCAAAGCTTTGGAAAAAACCTAGTGCCCTGGAGTAGCCATCACCTAGAGCCCCTCAGCTGGTGCCTCACCCCTGTGATCTACCATGGATCATCCAAGGGTTGTCAGGAAACCAGGGGAAGGCCAGCAAGAGCTTGGGTTGATACCCTTGTGTGAGGGATGTCAGGTTTGCTTTGCATAGGTGTTAGGTATGGATGGGTGAAGGGGCATCTTTTTACCTTTGATGTTTTATGGTCCTGCCTAGGTAGAGCCTCAGGCCTGACAAGCCTGAAAAGTTCAGCACAGAGGTCACTTCCAAGTCCATCTGGGCCTCTGAAATTGCTCTTCAGCCTAAAACCCCTAAAGCAATCAGTCTGTCAGGGCTTCTAGGGCATGGCAAGACCTCACTGGTACAGCCTTGCTCCTTATGAAAGGTAACGGTAGTCACTGCTGCTTGCAGACAGAGCAGGGAATGCAGAGGATGTGGTTCCCACTTTTAGGCAGTGGCTTAATAGTAAAAGCACTCTCCAGAAAGTGGTATATGGGCCAAGTTCCTTCTCCTGTAGACACGCATCTCCCACTTTCCCCAGCAATATCTGACCCCCTGTGACAATGCACTGTCCTGGGCAGGAGGTAGGAGGGAGACACCATGTTTGTCATTGCTAGTGCCTGTATGACCAGTTATTTGCACAAACTCCACCAAAAGTCCCTGAAACAGAGGCCAGAGCTCAGGCTCTCACATCTCAGGAGAGTGCCAGAACCAACAGAATCATAGAACCAGCAGGCCATGTGAGGTCATCCTAGCTAACTTCTCGTATCAAGTATCTAGATACCTAGATGTCTCATACATGCAGCAGAGAAACAGGCATTTCCTGTCCTGAAAGGAGACAAATATCTCTCTTGAATCCCTTCTCCTCTCCACTGACTGTATGTGGAGCCTGAGGTGACTAACACAGCCTTTGAAGTCCACTGTTCAATATCTAAATCAGGGCAGATGAGCTCCCCCTCTCATCCCTCCACCCCTCTCCTGTCTTCTCCTTCTATCCCAGCAAACCTCTCATGTTGTCACAGCTCTAACAGGAAGGCCTAAAAGCACATGGTTATCCCAGTTCCCTTCAGAACAACCCAGAGTTAGGGGTTACAAGGCTCACCATGGTGCTGTGGGCTCAAACAATCTCCAAAAGATCTCCTGTGACCCAGAGACCCCACAGCAGAGTTGGTTCATGGGATAGGGCTTCCTTTCTCAGCTTACATTAATAGGTAAGACTGACTGCTTCCTGGTTCTTTGTAACAGATGCTGTAGAACCTATCTTCTGCAAAGCCCTGTAAAAAGAGTACTAATTGATATGGTAATTGATACCCCGTGGCTGCTTTGTGTTTTTGTGGAAAGCAACTATAAACCCAGCTTAACTAGCTGTTTTGTTTTGCTGATTTTACATCTTAGTACTTCAATGAATGTACTCTTTAGATGGGATTTAGGCTTAACATTACTCATCCCCAAAATGTTAGAAGTATCCCACAGTAGCCATGGCTTCAGGTTGCTTGATTACTGTTCATTTACAGATAAATTATCTCAAGGTGGAATGAAGGTTAAACCCATATATCAGGAAGTAAAATACCTCTGGCAGATTTTGCAACCAAACTAAAACCAAGCAGCATAAAACCCAAAAGCTCTCATAGCTGAAGTTACACTTAAAAGCCAAACCAGCTAAGATTAGGAAGCACATTCTGTAGCAGACAGATTCTTGCTAGAGTTTATTTCATGAGATTCTATCATAGGTCTCAAGAAAAGATTTTGACCAGCTACAGCCATGGATGGTCTTAGGCAAGTCCGAAGATCCAGTGTGGGACCTTCGTGTGCTGCCTTCCTACCCCCACATCCAGCTTCTAGACCAACCTTCTGTTTCTTCCCTAAGTTTGCAGACACCTTAGACTGAACTTCTGAAAACATTCAGAGGTTCTTTGATACTCTCCTGTGGAAGAAAACCCAGTTCACAGCCCAAGAACTCCCTGGGTTGGAAATACAATGCTGTAGTTTTCTGTTTCCAGTACTGTTGCTGGAGGATCCATATCGTTAAAACCATGCAACAGAACTTTCACTGGACATATGCCGTATAATGTATGAACACTCAAAGGATTAACAGCAATCAGGGGATATATCTCTAGCTATGCACACACAGCAAATCTACAAAGAAGGGATTAGAGATATAGGATACAAACCTGCAAGGGAAAAATACAGGGGAGCCGGAAATGAAATCACAAGAGAAAGGTTATTCCTGCATTTGTACAATTTTATACAAATCCTTGTGTTACATGACGGTTCATTTGTGTTGCAGCAATATATAGAGATCCTGCAATGAGAGAATGGTCACAAGATGCTGGGGTTCGTACACACTGATCATGAAATGAGTATCTATGCCCTGAAGCTGTCAGCCCAAGAGCTGTTTCTTGCAAGTGCATCCACATGGCTGTACTGTTGATGTGTGGAAATCAAGTCCCAGGCATTAGCCCAAAATAGTTATTTAAAGAAACATCTTTATGCTTTAAATCCTCATCATCAAACTAAGACACAGTTATTATGTATTTTAACAAGAGCTATGCACACCCTAGCTAGCTTAACTCCATCACCCTGGTATCTAGTGAGTTTTTCCTAATGTCCAACCTAAATTTTACTAGCTGCAAATGAAGGTGGTTCCTTCTTTCCTTATCCCCCATGGCCATAGGGAAAGATTTATCGCTATCCTCCTTACAATAAACCTTAACATATTGTAAGATTTTTATCGTGCCTCCTCATTAGACTCTGCTGTTCCCAGACTAAACAAACAATCCTTTCAACATTTCCTGCTAGGTTGTTCCTTCTGTACCCCTGATATTTCTCGTGTCTCTCTGCTGGACTCTCTCCAGTTTGTCTACATTTTCCTTACAGTGCAGTGCCCAAAACTGGACACTGTATTCCAGCTGAGGCCTCACCGGTGCCAAGTGGAGTAGAATAATTATCTCCTATGTCTTAGGTTGCAGTCGCACATCCTGTTCTGCCTGCAGCTGAGCTGGGTGAAAAGTTTATTTCTTTTCACTCACTCCAGCTGCTTATCACCACCGCTCAGCTGCAGGCTCTCCCCCTCCCAGGTCAACCAGCATAACCGCCGTATAATCGCTCCCTAACACAATCTGGGTAAAGGATCCCGGTTACAGTCAATCATTCAAATAACAGGTCTTTCCTGATCTTCAGTTTAACAGACCCAGGTAGGACTGAGGTGTGAGCAGGTATGAAGAAGTGTGAGGCATCCCTGCCCATGGCAGGGGGGTTGGAACTTAATGATCTTAAGGTCCTTTCCTTTTCCTCCTAACTATTCTATGATTCTATGAAACTCAGACCTGATGTAGGAGGAGATGATGTGCAACAGGGTTATGGGCAGTGGCTTTCGCTGCTGGAGTAGCTGCAGCCAGAAAGGATATCTGCTGTTGTCCTTATGTCCAGCCTTCAGTCCACTGTGCGCCCAGTCCCTCCCAGTGCTGCTGCCCAGCTGGGAGGTCCTCTTTTTGCATCTCTCCTCCCAAGTGCAGTAGTTTGTGCTTAATCATCAGGCTGATTTTGCAACATTTTTCCCCATTGTTAATGCCATTCTAAACTTGGATTTTGTTACCCTGAGTAAGACCATCCCAAAATACCCAGAAGAGGTATTTTGTAAGCACATTCGGTGTTCTCACACCCAAGGTGGTTATGAAAAGGACAAAGACAACAGCGAGGTCTGCCTGAAACACCATCCCTATGTGATAGCAATACCTTCATAGCCCTCACCTACAGTTTCTCATCTACTTCTGCAGACACCTTATGGTGACAAGGCTCTGTGCCTGCTCACAGCACCGCACACAACAGGGTCATAAGGTTACCAGTGTCACAGTACAGATTTCTGTTGCCTTCTTCCACTTGCTCTGCTTATAGAGAACACTCAACAGGACACAACATGGGCTTCTCACCCCGGCAGGAAAACTACAACTGAACAACTTGGAAATACTGTACTGGTAAGACTGGAGATGAGCACTTCTCTTCTTAACCTGTGGCTTCTGCAAAGATACGATGGCGGTCTGAGTTGGCTGTGGATCAGTCGATTAAATTCTGTGCTGCTCTGCGGAACAGTGTGTTTTGTGCTCTGAAGAATGAAGGCTTAGGAAAACCACAATGCTAAGATGCTTTTGTCACAGAACAGCAGAAGCTGAGGACTAGGGGCATTTCTGCACCAGCAGTGAGACCATTCAGGGAAGTAACCCTGAGGGAATGCCTCCCATAGTTGCTTTTCCCTTCTGCTGTTTAAACAGAGTTATACTCATTTTCCTTCATTGCTTTCAGCTCTGGGTGTACCTGCATCCCACCCTTTGCTTATCCATGCATTCTTTCCCTGTCCATCCTCATTCCCTGTTTTTTCCATGTTCTTTCCATCTCCTCCCATTGAAACTTTCCTCCAAGAATTCTACCCAGCACAGCTTCTGTTCATGCTGCAAACCCTGTTGATTTTCTCAGGCTCTTTGGAAGTGGAGGGTTAGGTAGTGCGAGCTGATGGCAGGATGAAGTAATAGGAGTAGAGATGAGGTGAAGTTCTTGTTCTGCCTTGAACACAGACTGCCAATCACACCATAATAGATGGTGGTTCTAGGCAGGGAACAGCTTTTCAGCCCACCAAAATTAGACCATTAAATGGAATTTCCTCTATGGGCTAATCAGGATTTGAACCCATTTCTCTGGAGATAAAAGGCACAGCTCAATCTCCTGATCTGCGAGGTCATCTGGAATACAAATCAACGTTCGTGTATTCATTTGAAATGTTTTTATGTAAGAGATTTTTTTTCTTCTTTTTCTTTTTCATCTGCTTGTTAGTGCCTTGTGCCTAAACTGGAGCTGTGAAGTGACTTTTTCTCACTAGAGGCTAAATAAAGTACTGTACTGTTTTTATAAATGTCCTAAGCTTTGCCAGAAGGCTGGCAATGAAAGAGGCTGGCAGGAGACAGGCACCGTCTCTGTTCTGTATCACGGAAGTAAGCCCAAGGACACTGGCCAGTGCCTCCCATCCGCGGGAATGTGACCAATTAGCGCCCAGATGATGTCATTGGATGGCAAGAGCACTTCCCTCGCAGCTCTCCCCGCTCTGCCAGCTCCAACCTTCAGTGTATTTTCCTCAGTCTGGTCCATGTACTGTAATAACTAAGTCAACTGGAAAAAATATTGAAGAAAAGACTGAGGAAAAACAGAGTGTAGGGGCAGCTGGAGCCAGCAAAGAAGGCACACTGAGAGTTATAAAGAAGCTTTGTGCACAGCTTCTCTCGACTTCAGGATATTTAGTTCCACAGGAGTTGGAGAAGATGGGTAATAAGCTGGCCTTTATTTTAAGGGATATCCCTTGTAGTGTCAGCTGCATAAAGATCAGTCTTCGGGTATGTGGAAACAGAGCTAACAGTATCTCTCTTTCAGTACCTCCCGCTGCTGACTCCATTGAATGGCCTTGGTCCAGCTAGAGAGGAAAAAAGCCTTCCATCCCAAAACAGCCTTCCATCCCCAAACAGTCATCAGTCTGAAGGAAAAGAGGTGATGAAAAGAGGCTGTGAGTGATGAAGTAATTATTTATAGAAAGATACATGACCACAGCACTCAGGTGCCTGATCAGGAACAGGGCCGAGTACTGCTAATCCTGAATGTGGGGAATATGTGCCTGTGCTGCCACTGCTCCAAAGCACGCACTGTGCACAGCCCTGGTGCAGGCGAGGAGACCATGTCTCTTGGCTTCATGCAGATGAAAACGCTGTGCACAGGGTCACGGAGTACCAGCCTGGGCACAGGATGAGGCTGCTTCAAGGGCAAGCCAGGAAGATGAGGGTCAGTGAGGGACATTGCCAGGCTCAGATGTAGCTGCAGCATCACCCAGGCAGGGTAGGGCTGGAGCACAGGCAGCAGCTGAGCAAAGGGATCAGCCCGTGTTGGGGTTTCTCCCAGTTCATCTCACACAGCTCCATGCCCAGCAGCCTGCTCCCAGGTTGCAACTGAACTTCAATCCGAGCTGGCCTGGATCACCAGAAGCCACTCAGAGGCAGGATGAGGTTTTTAAGAGGCTGTTGTTGCCCCAGGGTCTGGATGCACATGATAGAATTGGCCTACAGAGCTCACTACTCCATACAAACTATGAGTCAAGACAGCCAAATGGCTAGGTGTAATTCAGGAGTATATGCATATTTGAAAATCATTTTTTATTATTGTGAATCGATACATGCAATGCTGATTATGCATATATATAAATTCAAATTCACTTTGTGTTATTGTGAATCAATACATGTAG